GAAACAGGGAAGGGTTTCGCATAGAAGAATCAATAGGAGAGAGCCTAGGCAGGGCTGCTTTGGCTCCTTAAGAAGTCAAAGAAAGGAGACCTTGGAGACAGGTTCAGGGGTTAGCGCAGGACGAGCTGCTGCTGCCCATTGTTCCCCTGGTTGTAAATCTCGTGGGGTCCCTTGGAGTTTAGGAGATGCATGCCTGCGGGGAAGAGAGGGAAGGGCAAAGTGCAGGCATGCTCCCAGGAGCGAGGGCACCATATTTAGTTTTGACAGAAAGTTCCTGTCCCCCACAACCTAGGTGTGTGTTCTGACTGGGAATCAAACCCGCAACCTTTTGGTGTTCGGGAATATGCTCCAAACCAACTGACCCACCCACTAGAGCAGGAGTTTTTTATTTTAATAAAGTGAAACTTTTGTGTGTGTGTGTGTGTGTGTCTTATCTAAAAATGTATCACAAACACAAGGTCACCTAGATTTTCTTATATGTTAAATACTAGGAATTGTTTTTACTTTTGCATTTTACATTTAGATGTATTATCTATTTTGAGTTAATTGTTGTGCCAAGTTTAAGTTCTGTATGTACATTCATTTTTTATGTGGATATCAGTTATGGTTTATTTAAAAGACTACCTTTTAAAAAACAAAATAAAAATAAATAAATAAATAAATAAATAAAAGACTTTTTTTTAAAATATATTTTATTGATTTTTCACAGAGAGGAAGAGAGAGGGATAGAGAGTTAGAAACATCGATGAGAGAGAATCATCGACCAGCTGCCTCCTGCACACCCCCCACTGGGGATGGGCCCACAACCAAGGTACATGCCCCTGACCAGAATCGAACCCGGGACCTTTCAGTCCACAGGCTGACGCTCTATCCACTGAGCCAAACAGGTCCCGGTTTACTTATATTCTTAACTCATTTGTCAAAGATCAGTTTACTGTGTGTCTATTGGGAACCAGTTGACTTGTATATTCTTCAACCTGGCTATTCCAGGCATTATCTCTGTTACTGTGTTTTCCCCCCAGATGTTTTACATGGACACTCATGTCAAATGGAAGAAAGACATTTTTGATTTTTGCTCCCCAATCTCTGTACCTTGTATATTCTTTCCTTTAAAAAAATATTTTTATTGATTCTAGAAAGGAAAGGAGAAGGAGCGAGAGATAGAAACATCAATGATTAAAGAGAATCTTCAATTGGCTGCCTCCTGCACTCCCCCTACTAGGGATTGAGCCTGCCACACAGGCATGTGCCCTGACCAGAAATTGAACCATGACCTCCTGGTTCATAGGTTGATGCTCAATTACTGAGCCACTCTAGCCAGGTATATTCTTTTCTTATTACATGGCTAGGGCTTCCAGTACAAGGTTGAGTGGGACAGTGAGAGAAAAACCTTTCCTTTCTCATCTTACTAGAAAAACATCTAGTTTTTCATCATATTAAACTAAAGGCCCAGTGCACAAAATTTGTTCGTGTGTGTGTGTGTGTGTGTGTGTGTGTGTGTCCCTCAGCCCAGCCTGCACCCTCTCCAATCTGGGATCCCTCTCAAAATCCAGGACTGCTGGCTCCTAACCACTCACCTGCTTGCCTGCCTGATTGCCACTAACTACTTCTGCCTGTCATCCTGATCACCCCCTAACTACTCCCCTTGCCGGTCTAATTAATGCCTAACTGCTTTCCTGCTGGTCCTCCCCTGCCAACCTGTTCATCCCCAACTGCTCTCCCCTGCAGAGCTGGTCACCCCCAACTGCCTTCCTCTGCCACCCGGTCGCCCCTAACTGCCCTCACCTGCAAGCCTGATCACTGTCAACTGCCCTCCCATGTTGACTATCTTGTGGCGGCCATCTTGTGTGTTGGAGTGATGGTCAATTTGCATAGTTCCTCTTTATTAAATGGATAGAGTATAATCCTATCTAATAAAGAGGGACTATGCAAATTGACCATCACTCCATCACAAAGATGCTGGTGCCCATAGCCACAAAATGGCAGTGCCCAGTCCTCTCAGCGCCTCTGGAGTCACCCAGTCCCGGGTGAGAGCTGGCCATGTGAGTGGCCTGGCGGAATGCTTGCTTCATCGCTGTGGCAGCGAGGTAAGTATTCCACCCCAGCCACAGAGGGCCTCTGGGCAATGGGCACAGAACAGCTGGAGTGAACGTTTGCCTCATCTCCCTGGCAATGAGGCAAGCATTCCAGGCCATGAAGGGTCTCTGGGCAGGCTGGGTGCGGAGCGGCGGGAGGGGAGAATGCTTGCGTTGTCACCCTGGCAATGAAGCTAGCATTCTGGCATGGCTGCAGAGGGTCTCTAAGCAGGCTGGGCTCAGAGCGGCTGGGCATAAAGTTAGCTTCATCATCGCCACCACGGAGACTCTGACAACAGAGAGGAGGAAGTCCCACCCCACAGAATTAGCCAGAATCAGCCGTTGGTCAGTTAGCTCTCAGCAGCCTGATAGCCAGGACTTTCATTCACCTGCATCTCAGATGTGACAGCAGGGAGGTGGGGCTGTGTCTAAAGAGCAACTATTTCTCTCTGCAATGTTGAAGAGAGTGGTTTGATTTTTACTTCAATCCTCTGATAGATCTAAGAAAAGGTGTTCATTACAAGTGTTTGGTTTTTTTTTTTTTGTTTTTTTTTTGCTTTTTCTACGAGGTCAGTAGTGATGGCTTGTAAGTTCCTTAAATGTCCAAAACAAACTGGAATTCTCTGACTCCAGTTGATGATTGACAGATGACAGCTTTCCAGTCTCATCCCTCCTCGTTTCCCTTTGACTCACAACTACACTAAGTGACAAGAGTTCCTTGGTGCTCCTTTCTTTAAAGGTGACAGGAGATTTGGTCCTCTAAGGTCCTGCTCTCGTGTGTGAACTATAACCCATCCACTAACCTTAATTTTACAAATGGTCCAGGATCTATATTTGCTTTCTTACACCATCTCAAGAATAATAGAGAAGCCTGCCTTGCTTTTTCCATAGGCCTCAATTATGGGAGTACATTCTTTGCAACATGTGGTGTAATCAGCTATGGGATTTGAAATGTGCTCAGGATTTGAGACATTTTGCTGCCTTACTCCACGTGGGAGCTTGGGAATTAGAGAACTTGGGAGTGTACCCTCTAGGGTGGCTGGTCAGGAAACACTTTCTTCTGCAATTTAAAAATGGAGATTATATGACCCAGCAAGTGTGGCTCAGTGGTTTAGCGTCAACCCATGAGCCAGGAGGTCATAGTTCAATTCCCGGTCATGGCTCATGACTCTCTCTCTCTTTCTCTCTGTCTGTCTGTCTGTCTGTCTCTCTTTCTCTCTCTCTTTCATCAATAAAAAAATAATATATATATTTATTTTTTTAATGGAGATTATATGTTCTTTTGAAGGAAAGCACTGCTGAGTCCTGCGATGTTTGTTATGCTCATGGGCAAATTTGCAATCAAACCTTTGTGTATTTCACTGAACGCAGTTACAGTTGGCATTGGCAACTCTCGGTCTTCCTCAGGGTCAAGAGGGTTCAGGACTGCCATAAAGAGCTCTTCTGGGACATTTGTTACTGTATGTACCCATGTCTGCCATAAATGGTCCCCATGCAGCCCTGAGGCACACTAGTACAGGGAATTTGTGGTCTGAGTTAGGTCCTTTACCTGGTGTCTGAACTCTGACTTCCAGTTATCTTTATAGCCCATCACACTGGATGGAGAGAGAAAGGCAGAGGCAAAAGCAGTACTTTTTCACAAAAATATTTTGATTTTGTGAGCTGTGCCCTGACACTTCTAAAGGCCCAGGATACTTTAGGGATGATAATGGCCAGCTGTACCTTATTAAAAGTCAGATTTCCACTGGTCTCTTAGACCAGTGTTTCCCAACCTTCTCTCATGATGAGAATCACCTGGTGGAGTTGTTAAAACACAGATTCCCGAATCCCAACTAAGAAGTGCTAAACTAGAATTTTTGAGAACATATAGGTAAAATTGCATACCTAACTTAGTGCTCTGTATATAAAATCTGTCTTAGAGCACTAGTTAAGTATACAATTTTACCTATATGTTCCCAAAAATTCTAGTTTAGCACTTCTTAGTTGGGATCCGGGAATCTGTGTTTTAACAACTCCACCAGGTGATTCTCATCATGAGAGAAGGTTGGGAAACACTGTCTTAGACTTCTCATGTTCGGTGATGAGAAAAGGGTTCCTGTTCTCCCCCACCCCCCATTAAAATTGTATGCATATCTGACCTTCTGCCTCTTGGAGGGCTCTAAGTGATTATAATAATAGAGGAGATGAAGAGTTTTTCTCACAAGGTATTGATGGTCTTAAAATGATAATTTTGTTTGATTTGTATAGAATTTCTTTTTTTTTCCCCCTTTGCAATGCCATCTTTCTTATTCCCATCTCTCTCTCTCTTTTTTTTTTTATTTTATGCCTGAGGAGTTTATTTATTTTATTTTATTTATTTATTTATTTTATTTATTTTATTTTATTTTTTTAATATATTTTATTGATTTTGTACAGAGAGGAAGGGAGAAAGATAGTCAGAAACATCGATGAGAGAGAGTCATCGATCAGCTGCCTCTTGCACACCCCCTACTGGGGATATGCCCGCAGCCAAGGTACATGCCCTTGACCCGAATCAAACCCGGGACCTTTCAGTCCCCAAGCCGACGCTCTATCCATTGAGCCAAACCTGTCCTGGCTGATTTGTATAGAATTTCTGTCAACATGCTCTGAAATAAGATGTAATGTGATCACAGTAAAAATGTGTAAATAATTTCCATGTGTACATCATGCTGTTAAATTTATAAGGAAGTATATTCATGTTAACCAATGTCATTCCAATAAATTTAATAAAAATTTATAAGAGGAAGTGGGTTATGGACAGAGAGTAAGTTTCTGTTGATCAAATCATGGCATAAGTGTTTAGAAATTATAAAATCATACATAAGCTTTCCTATAAATGGAATATATATGTCATGTGCAGTCAATCTCATGCATCCTACTGTAAACCTACTTGGGATGTTTTAGGATTCTGTGGCCATTGAGGATGTGGCTGTGAACTTCACACTGGAGGAGTGGGCTTTACTGGATACTCCACAGAAGAAACTGTATAGAGATGTCATGAAGGAAACCTTCAGGAACCTGGACTCAATAGGTAAGAATGAGGGGACTCATCAGTTATCACTAGAGAACAAATACTTTTTCACCATCTTTTTCCCAAGGTGCAGATTATGGAAAGGAGGACATTGGTTAAGAAACTAGGCATAGGCCGAAACCGGTTTGGCTCAGTGATAGAGCATCGGCCTGTGGACTGAAAGGTCCCAGGTTCGATTCTGGTCAAGGGCATGTACCTTGGTTGCGGTCACATCCCTGTGGGGGGGTGCAAGAGGCAGCTGGTCAATGTTTCTCTCTCATCCACGTTTCTGGCTCTCTACCTCTCTCCCTTCCTCTCTGTAAAAAAAAAATCAATAAAATATATATATTTTTAAAAATGCCAAAACCGGTTTGGCTCAGTGGATAGAGCGTCGGTCTGCAGACTGAAAGGCCCCAGGTTCGATTCCAGTCAAGGGCATGTACATTGGTTGCAGGCACATCCCCAGTAGGGGGTGTGCAAGAGGCAGCTGGTCGGTGTTACTCTCTCATCAATGTTTCTAGCTCTCTATCCCTCTCCCTTCCTCTCTGTGGAAAATCAATAAAATTATATTTAAAAAAAGAAAAGAAAAGAAACTAGGCATAGTCACAGCTAATAATGAAATTAGAATCTAACAATTTTTTTATAATTTATTAATATTTTGGAATCATTTTTCTGGGTTTATATTTTAGGCCAAAACTGGGAAGATCATTACATTGAAGATCTGTACAAAAGCCAGGGGAGAAAACTAAGGTGAGTCACATTCACAATAGAAAGTAGTGTCTCGCTGAAACTGGTTTGGCTCAGTGGATAGAGCGTCAGCCTGCGAATTCAAGGGTCCTGGATTCGATTCCGGTCAAGGGCATGTACCTTGGTTGCAGGCACATCCCCAGTGGGGGGTGTGCAGGGGGCAACTGATCGATGTTCCTCTCTCATCGATGTTTCTAACTTTCTATCCTTCTCCCTTCCTCTCTGTAAAAAATCAATAAAATATTTTTTAAAAACCTGATAAAGTAGTGTCTCATGTGAGAATCCTAGTGTTATGAATTTTTAAAAGAAGGAAACAAAATAAACAATTTTTCAAATTTAGTTATTCTTAATTTTAACCAGAAATACTTTATTTATATGTGACATAAATACTCAGTGTTTACAAAATAGTTTACTTGGAAACTGTATTAATAAGTCCTATTTATTACTGTTTTGGTGAAGTCCTCCTGAAGAACATTCACTATATCCAACTTCAGAGAATTCAGACAAGGCAGGAAATTTACACATTTCATATAAATCCTAATAAATAGTTTGAAAAATACCATTTTAAAAAATCATTAATAATGTGCTTCTAATTTTTTTCAGAAGTCAAATGGTAGAAAGTCTCTATGAAGGTAAAGAGGGCAGTCAACATGGAGAAAATTTCAACCTTACCCCAAATCTCAGTCTGAACAAGAAAACTACTGGAGTGAAGCCACCTAAGTGTAGCATATGTGGAAAAGTCTTCATGCATTATTTTTCTCTTAATATGCATATCCGAGGTCACACTGGACACAAACAAGATGAGTATCTGAAATGTAGAGAGAGGCCATATAAATGTAAGGTGTGTGGGAAAGCTTATATTTCTTCAAGTTTATTTCAAATACATCAAAGGAAGCACACTGAAGAGAAAACCTATACGTGTAAGGAATGTGGGAAAGCCTTCCGTTTCCTCACATCCTTTCAAATTCATGAAAGGGTTCACACAGGAGAAAAACAATACGAATGTGAGGAATGTGGAAAACCCTTCATGTGGCTCACAAGCTTTCGAAGACACATGGCCATGCACACCGGATATGGACCTTATAAATGCAAACAGTGTGGAATGGTCTTTCGATATCATCAGGCTTTTCAGACCCATGAAAGAACTCACACAGGAGATAAAGCCTATGAATGTGAGCAGTGTGATAAAGCTTTTAATTCTCAACGAGGTTTCCAAATACATCAAAGCTACCACAAAGGGAAGCACCCCTATGTATGTGAACAATGTGGAAAAGTCTTTAGATACCATCATACTCTTCAAGCACATGAAAAGATTCACGCAGGAGAGAAACTCTACGAATGTAAGCAGTGTGGTAAAGTTTTCAATTCTCATCGAGGTTTCCAAGTACATGAAAGATATCACAAAGGAGAGAAACCCTATGAATGTAAGAAATGTGGTAAAGCTTTCAGTTCTCACCAAGGTTTTGAAATACATGTAAGAAATCACAAGGGGGAGAAACCCTATGAGTGTAAGGAATGCGGTAAAAGTTTTAGTTGTTACCGAGGTTTCCAATTACATGAAAGAAATCACAATGGAGAGAAACCCTATAAATGTGAATGTGGTAAAGCTTTTGTTTATTACTATGCCTTACAATTACACAAATCAACTCATACTGCAGAGAAATCCTATGAATGCAAGGAATGTGGGAAAGTCCTCAGCAATCACAAATGCTTAAAGAGACACGAGAAACTGCACACAGGAGAGAAACCCTATAAATGTAAGCAATGTGGGAAAGCCTTCATGCATCTGTCAGGATTCCGGACACACATGAAAATGCACGCTGGAAATAGACCTTATCAGTGTAAGGAATGTGGGAAGGCTTTCATTTACCCATCAGGTGTCAGAGCACACATGATGCAAGTACATGTTGGAAATAGACCTTATCAATGTAAGGAATGCGGGTTAGCATTTTATTTTCCCAGTACATTACGTAGGCATGAAATGACTCACACTGGAGAGAAACCCTGTGAGTGTAAACAATGTGGTAAAACCTTCAGAGATCACAGTTATTTAAAAATACACGAAAGAAGTCACACTGGAGAAAAACCCTATAAATGTAAGCATTGTGGTAAAGCTTTTATTTCTCAGCTAGGTTTCCAAGTACATGAAAGAAGTCACACTGGAGAGAAACCATATGAATGTGAAGAATGTGGGAAATGCTTCGGTTATCCCAGTTCCTTCCGGAGGCATAAAAAGACTCACAGTAAAAGTCCTGTTGAATGTAAATAGCATAGGAAAGACTTCATTTGATCTACATGCTTACATGTCGGGTGGGGGTAGATATCAATATGAGTAACATGAAAAGCTCCATGGAAATTAATCCATGTGTAATGAAACAGCTATTATAAACTAGAGGCCTGGTGCACAGAGTTGTGTACCGGTGGGGTCCCTTGGCCTGGCCTACGGGGATCAGGCCAAAACCAGGTATCTGACATCCCCTGAGGGGACCCAGATTGCGAGAGGGCAGTTCTCAGGTGACATACACTGGAATTAAGCTTCCTTTTCTGATTCCAGGTGAGTCACTGGAGAACCGTAGCTGCCAAGTCAGTGCGACTCAGCAGCTCCTGTGTTGAACGTCTGTCTCCTGTTGGTCAGTGCTTATCATAGCTGCTGGTCTAAAGGTCAGAGAGTCCCTTAGGCATTTATATAGAAAGATATAAGTATATTGGGTTTATCAAGCCTCCTTAAAGTACATTGTTGAACTATGAATTTCTAATTTTTTAAGCTGAATATTCAGATAATTGTGGCTATCTAATAAGAAGGGGATATGCTAATTGACCATCACACCCTCACAAAGATGGTGCCCATAGCCAATGAGAGAATATGCTAATTTACTGCCACACCCTCAAAGATGGCGTTACCCAGTCCTCTGAGCCCCGTCAGGGCGGCATGTGTGTGGCAGGGCTGGGCCCATCCACAGGCGGGTCAGACTGTTCCGCATGCCTTCCTCCAGAGTCCCCCAGTCCCCTCAGCCTCCCAGCCTCTCAAGGCATAAGCAAGCCTTGGATGTCTGCTGCCCAGCCAATGCCCAAGGTGTAGGCAAGCCTCAGATGCCAGCTGCCCAGCTGCCCAGGGCTGGCCCAAGATGCAGGCAAATCTTGGATGGTGGCTGCCCAGGGCCACCTGAGGTGCTGCCAGCAATGGCAGCAGCAGGGGTATGATGGCATCTGCACCTTCCCCTGATCACCAGGTTGCCTCCGGCCCCTGAGGGCTCCTGGACTGAAAGGGAGCAGGCTGGGCTGAGGGTCTCCCCCTCCAGTGCATGGATTTTTATGCACCAGGCCTCTAGTAATATATGAATTTATAGGTAGTGCTTCCCCCCACCTTTAAATCAGTTAATATTTCCATTTTGAAACCTGTTGGATTCATAGGTGAAGTATATTTTTAAAGTATTTTTAAAATTATCTTCAGAGAGGAAGAGAGAGAGAGATAGGGACATCAATGACCAATCATTGATCGGCTGCCTCATTGAGCCCACAACCCGGGCATGTGCCCTTGACCATAATCAAACCTGGGACCATTCAGTCCACAGGCCAACACGCTATCCTCATCAAGGTTTCCAAGTGCATAAAAGATATCACAAAGCCAAATTGGCTAGGGTTGAAGAGTATTTTTAATATGCAGTTGGGTTTAATTTTTTCATAATGTAATTGTTGTGTGATAAGGGAATATTGAAAAATGAAAGTTTGGTTTTTGTTGGGATTTTCCTACTGGTTTTGTGACAGTTCCTGGATATCCTTAGTCATTATATATATTCCACATTTCTAAATGAGAAACCTCCTTTTGGGGTACAGGGAGTATAGGAGTCTTTTCATGTTCCACATTAATAAACCATTGGAATGCATTTTGTGTTAAGCATATGGTAGTTTCATGTGAATTATTGTTATTGTGTGGATTTCTCCTTGGCAACACCAGGGTGTTGGGAGCTAAAAGGATGTCAGAGTCAGTGGCAGAATGATTCCCCTTAGTCACAGCTGTCACTTTTATCAGACCTGCTTTCTTAATTATTCCCACAATACTTAAAAATTGATTTAAATAAGAAAACAAATGACTTCAGAATTTGTTGAAATAAGTCCCTCCATTAGTGTCTTTCTCTCCACACCCCTTAACTATAGAGGCATCCAAGAGTCTCCAGGTCTATGGTGGACATCAGTTCCCCAGGGCATTCTCATTCAAGAGACTGTTTTCCTCAGCCCAGGCGGTATACAGTTAGAGCAGCCATTGCTGGCAACTGATGAAATCCTTTTGTAATGGAGGCCCTCCCAGGCCTTGAGTTAAAGCCTGCAGTCTGCTTCTCCTTTTGCCTTAGGTCATGAATGCAGGACCCTTGAGCTTTCTAGCTATAGTTCTCATTGAAGAGGTACTAGTGCTTATAGCACAGAGCTGGAAATGCTGCCCCTGGTATATCTCACCTAGAAGAGGAAGTGTGTTTCCTTAACATGGATGCAGTCTGTTTTGAAGAAGGTAACTTCTAGACATACTGGCCACTTTGGGAATCTCTTGGGAGCACATGAGATTCATATGCTTTATAGACAGTGTGTCCCCACCACACCTGGTGGGGTCCACTGCAGAGATGCGGCATTTTGTCCTTAGATTGGACAGGCCATCCCTGATTAAAGACGGGACACAAGCAGCAGATCTGTTAAATACCAGACAGTCATGTTAGCATTAGAGAACATCAGACTTGCTTCCTTAATTATTCCTACAATACTTAAAAATTGATTTACTTTGATTGTGAAAACAATGACTAGAATTTGTTGAAATAAGTCACTCCCTTAGTGTCTTTCAGACACAGAACTCATCTACACATTTTTTGGCATTAGCCAATATCTAGCTGGCTCGTCTTGCCAATAGCAGTGACTCCTTATCCAATGTCATCCCTTTGGCATAATGAACCTGGAATATCTTGCTTTACAGTAACCAGGTCAAATAATGGGTGGAAGCCTCAGCACTCTAAGCAAAGATCACAATAGAACTAGACTCATTATTACATATGATGAGGTCATTTTTAAATGGGATTACAGTTCCATAAGCTGCTTTGCAGCCTGTACCAACCCCTCATCCAGAAAGGACCTCAGACCTTCTCATCTCAATCTGGCTTGGGTGTCCCTCCTGTTCAGGACAAGGGAGTCCCTCTATCTGGAAACTGAGTCTGGAATTTCCAGCGCACACATGGTCCCGCTTTCGGAAAGAGCAACAGGAAGACACTGCATGGTTTTTATAGCATCTAGGTTAACTCACCTTTGAAATGCCAGAAGTGGGGTGTTAACCCTCAAAAGAGCACATAATATTGTTAACTCTCTTTAATTCAATCCCTGCCTTTCTTCAATCTTCCTTACATCCCCTTCTTAATTTCAAATGTGTTTAAAAAAAAAAAAAAAAAAAAAAAAAAAAAAAAAAGCCTGTAAAACTGTTACTCTCAGGAACATTTGAGATCTTGTTCCATGGCTATGTCATCATTTTGACTCAAATTTACTCATAAAAATCCTCCCTGGGTTTGGACATTTCTTAGGTTGGTACAGCATCACGTTGCAGGTGTTAAACTGTGTTTCCCTTTTTCTTTCCATGGGTGTTGTGGTTTGTTTCTCAGGGCTATTCATTACTTTTGGGTGATTTCAAATAAAATCCTAGGGCTTAGACTTGCAACACGTGTTTAAGTATAATCAGTTGTTTACAGAACCATTTCTCAGCATGGAAATAATAATGAATTACCATTATTTTCTGAAAGCAGTAGGTAGTTGAGGGTTTTCTTGAGTTAGCAAAATACCTTATAATTATTTTCCCTCCTTTACACATAAATACTGGGTTTAATTAAGTGCTTTTGCCAAATGGTTCAAACACTGGGTGTATGTGGTGCTTAAAACATAGATGGTGGTTCAGAGAGCTCCACTGGGAAGCAGAGCCTCAAGTCAGTGACACGAAGCTAAGATCCCTGCTACCACCACATGCACACAGATATCCACACACCTGGAGCCTGCAAAGGGAAGTACTTAAAGGCCCAGTTATGCCAAAACCGGTTTGGCTCAGTGGATAGAGCGTCGGTCTACGGACTGAAAAGTCCCAGGTGTGATTCCGGTCAAGGGCATGTACATTGGTTGCGGGCCCATCCCCGGTAGGGAGTGTGCAGGAGGCAATTGGTCAATGTTTCTCTCTCATCGATGTTTCTATCTCTCTCCCTTTCTCTCTGTGGAAAATCAATAAAATATATTTTAAAAATAAAAAAGGCCCAGTTATTCTTCCAGAAGCACCCACCCTGCTCTCTCCAAAGACCTCTATTATGCAGTTGTAAGCCTGTCCCTGCCTCCCCTCTGGGCCACACCTCTGAAGGTAAAGGTAACAAGGTAACAACTTGTCCCCACATGACCACCAATATGCATTTGTCTCTTGCTTTAACTTGCTCACCTCTTCCGCTGCCTGCTGCCTGTGCTGTGGCTGCTGGACTCTGGGGGCTGGTGCTGTGAGCTGTGCCGCCCCGTGTGGCATTGCTGAGCTGGTCACGCCTCAGTTCTATGTGCAGCCGACCAGAGTGGGCAGTTTTGAGATATTCTAGACATTTGGGAGCAGGAGTGTAGGGTTGAGATCCTCCCTAACGTGGTCCTGGGTTGTTGCCTTTGCTGGGATTCATCTGTGTGTTAGAGGGAAGCTGTGATAGAGGCTGGGTTGGCCCCAACATGCCCTGGAGTCAGGGGTCAAGGGAAAGACTACACCCTGTGAGAGAGGTGGGTCCATCTCATGGTCACTCCTGAAACATCAGTTACTTACAAAGAGGAAGAGAGAGTAAAAGATAGTCAGTAGGTAGCCAACTGAGTCCACCCCCTACCCTCACCACCGTAGGTAAGTACGTCGGCTGTGGCTGCTCCTACCTCTACTGCAACACAGAACCTGCCCTGGGGGTTAAGGAGACAACACCATGGCACCCTGTGGCACAGCCAACAGATTAGTTCAAACCTGATTTCAGCTTAGGACCTTGAACCCTATAATGTAGCAACCAGTTATGGAGGAAAGGCTTCTAAACCTGACAGTGCAGCCAAAACTGGTTTGGCTCAGTGGATAGAGCATCGGCCTGCAGATCCAAGGGTCCCAGGTTCGATTCCGGTCAAGGGCATGTACTGGGGTTGCGGGGACATCCCCAGTGGGGGGTGTGCAGGAGGCAGCTGGTCAATAAAATATATTAAAAATAAAATAAAATAAACCGGACAGTGCTGGTTAGAGGCTCTCTGTAAGAAAAAAAATGACCAATGCTGGCATACATTGTTTATTTGTACTGCTTTATTGGGCTTTGCTTTATTGCACTTTGCAAATGTTGCATTTTTTACAAACTGAAGACCTTCCACCAGCACAAAGATCACAACTCACTCTACTGCTATACTCACTTCCAGGGTGATGGTTTGGAACCAAACCTGTGATATCTCTGAGGTATGCCTGCACTGGCAAAGAGAGAGCACACCCTTTCCTGAAGTAGAGCAGATCTTCAAGTAATGTGGTTTTATTCAAGGTCATTTTGCTATAAAGTTGATGAAGGGAAAAGTGAGACAAAGCAGCGAGCCTCATGGGCACTGGCTCACACCCCTGGAGGAGCCCGATGCTGGGTCACTCCGCTCTTTGCTCTTTCCTGAGTGGGAGGAGTCGCAGGCCCAGCAAGGAGTCTCTCTTGGCAGCGAGGCGTGCTGCCTTGGAAACGAGGTGATGTGGGTAAAATGAAACTGTTCATTCTTAATGCCTACAGTGTGTCTGTGCTCAGTTAATTTGCTCAGAGGTGTGCTGCCTCTGTGTCAGTTTTTGTTTTTTTAAATCGCTCAAATCGCCCCTTGCTTTCCCAGTTTATGAACTCTGTTACCAGGAGGGTTTGAATGGGGTTCCTTAAACAGATTTGCGGTGGTTGCTTTGCCTCTTAGGTTTCCCACCCGCTGGCATCGGGGGCCTGGTCTAGGACTGTGGGCTTCAAACATCCCTCCAGAGCCCAGCGCCCCTGACACCACAGGATTCTTGAAAGCACCAGGTGAGGGGGTGCGTGTGAGGGGCAGAAGGGCCGGCCTGTCCCCTCCGGAAATGGCCACATACCAAAATGGACCCAGACTGATCTTTATCTATGGCGAGGTCATTTTTTAAGAGAAAGTGAAGAAGCGTCCTAGTTCCCTGAACGGCCTTCTGCTGGAAAGGGCAGACTGTGTGTGGCCCACTGCCATTGGCTCATAGACCTCGGCCTGCTGTCACTCAGTCGTGACGGGGCGGGGCCTTGCCACTGTCCAATCAGAAGAGTCCTCGGTAGCCTTTGTGGGCGGGGCGCTTTGTGAAGCGGGAGCGCTGCGCGTTTGGGGGGACTGAGCTCGCCCGTCGCTCCCAGCCCCGCCGCGCCGCGGGCCGCCCCCGGCTCCCATCTCCCCCCGAAGGCCCGAGGGCTGGAACGTCCCCCGGGGTGGCGGCCGGCGCCCGCCGGAGGGAGTCGGAAGGTGGAAGGCAGGGAGCCCCGAAACCCGAGAAATGGTGAGTGGGCGGGGCGGGTGTCAGGAGCCCGGGCTGAGGAGCCGGTCGGCACCACCTGAGGGGGGACAGCGCCCCCCCGAGGTCCCTTCGGAGCCCGCGGGCCCGGACCCGAGCGGCGGGGACTGCGGTCCGCTCGGGGCCGCGGCGGCAGCCCGCACCGGCGCGCCTCCCACCACCGCGCGCGGTCGCCTCCCCTGCACGGCGCGGTGACACGGGACGGCCAGCAGGGGGCGATCGTGGCTCAGCGCCCGGGGTTCTGCGTGGCGGAGAGTGGTGTGTGTCCCCTTCCTCTTTCTCCCGGGGGACTTGTCTGCCTGCCCCTCACCTTCCAAATGTTTGGGGACCTCAGATCCACCACCCTGTTTCCTCAGCCTGACTCCTGCGAGGGCTGGCAGAAACCCTACATTTAACCCCAGATTACCTACAACCCCACCCCCATCCTGTCCAGCCCCCCATTCCAGAGGTCATCTTACCCCCCAGCTCACGGACTTTTATTTATTTTTTATTTTAAAAAACATATTTTATTAATTTTTTACAGAGAGGAAGAGAGAGGGATAAAGAGTTAGAAACAAGGATCAGCTGCCTCTGGCACACCCCCCAATGGGGATGTGCCCACAACCAAGGTACATGCCCTTGACCGGAATCGAACCCGGGACCTTTCAGTCCGCAGGCCGGCGCTCCATCCACTGAGCCAAACCGGCCTCGGCTCACGGCCTTTTAGTAACTAGTTGTCTTCCGCGGTGCATTTCACCAGTCGCCATATGTTATCATTCACCCCCTGAGCCCTGAGCGGCTGTCCTCGGGAGTTTATTTTTGTGTATATTTTACAGGTCAGGAAAGTAGGGAATAATCATATGAAATCCCCTTTCCCGAGGGAACAGACATTCTATGGGAAGCCCCTTGGGGGATTGTCCCGGGAAGCTCCTGGGTGCGGCTGCTTTAGCGCAGTTCCAGGTCAGTCCTGCCCCTCCCTAGGTTTGTCACTTTGAAAAAAATGTATTCACTTGAAACAGTTTTTCAATAAATGAAACATTTTTTAAATCACTAGAGGTTGGGATACAGTAAACGTATTTACAAAGAGGCAATAAAGCCGAAACTGGTGTGGCTCAGTGTATAGAGCTTCAGCCTGTGCACTCAAGGGTCCCAGGTTTGATTCCGGTCAAGGGCATGTACCTTGGTCATGGGCACATCCCAGTAGGGGGTGTGCAGGAGGCAGCTCATCGATGTTTCTCTCTCATTGATGTTTCTAACTCTATTCCTCTCCCCTCCTCTCTGTAAAAAATCAATTATATATATATATATATATATCTATATATATATATATATATATATATATATTTTTTTTTTTTTTTTTTTTTTTTTAAGTGTAGGCCAGGTTAATGGAGACTCAGATATGGCTCCTGTCAGCACTGCGGGGAAGTCTCATCAAAGAAACAATAACCTCTGCCAGTACTTCCGTCTGGGAGAAAGCTGCCCTTCCCCAGCCCTGGCCCTGATCCAGACAATTCATTTCATGCCAGTATGTCCCTGTCATCTTTCGAGCTGCCGCCCCGAGCTCAGAGGAGTAAGTGTGTATAAGTCCAAGCACCAGGTCTTTAAGAGGAATACCTGGGACTGCAGCCACACTCCATCTCAGCCACAGTGCCAGCTGGTTTTCATGGCCAGAAATGTTAGGGACTCCTCTTCCCGGCACCGGAATCCTGGGCTGGGGGTCTCGTGTGGCACTAGACCCTTTCACTCGCCAGGGCAGATCTCTGCCGCCGAGATATTCCTCCCGGTTTTAACCACAGTGTGTGTGTGGGACCAGCCATTCCACGTCTCCACTCCTACCATCTGGGCATGGCTTCTTCTGTATATCCTTAGTTGTAGGACTTCTGTACAGGTAGATATCAGGTGGTTCTAAATGATGGATGTTCTATAGCTTGTTACAGAAAACCAGAGAAGAACCAAGCAACACTTAGAGAGATGAAGTTACATTTATTACGTGTGGGTCCAGAGGAAAATGTCTCTTAAATTCTGGGTCCCAACATGGAGGAACTCTCCCTATTTATGTTTTACCTTTTTTTTCTTTTTTTTTTCTTTTTTAATATTTTATTGATTTTTCACAGAGAGGAACAGAGAGGGATAGAGACTTAGAAACATCGATGGGAGAGAAACACCGATTAGCTGCCTCTTGCACACCCCCTACTGGGGAACGTGCCCGCAACCAAGGTACACGCCCTTGACCGGAATCGAACCTGGGACATTCGTTCTATCCACTGAGCCAAACTTGGCTCGGCTTTACCTTTTTTTAATCTCCCAAATATGGGGTGTTTTCGGCCCCCGTGGCAAGTTCTTAAGAGCCACTATGTCTAGGGCCTTGAGACCTCAACCGAAGGCTTGGCCTGGTGCCAGCACCGATAACTTCATCCAGGGAAGGTTTCATGGCCTCTCTGAAGTGGGAGTTGTCTTATTTTCCTTATTATTTAAGCAAGCAAGCATCTACAGAAGCCAAATAGCAGGGTTAAAATTTCAAACAGCAATTTTTATATAAGATGGATGCTTCAAGTTCAGTTGTAATTTTGTGTAAGGGATGCAAGTACTGCATAATGCTGTTAAATTTATGAGGAAATAGGTGTGGACAGAGTGTTTGTTTCTGATGACCAAGACATAAAATAAATGCTGAGAAACCACAGAATCCTGTGTAACTCTTCTATAAATTGAGTGTGAATGCCCAGTGCTGTCAGATTGACACATCCTACTATATAGATATTTGCAATGTTTTAGGACTCAGTGACCTTTGAGGATGTGGCTGTGAACTTCACCCGGGAGGAGTGGTCTTTACTGGATCCTTCACAGAAGAAATTCTGCAGAGATGTGATGAGGGAAACCTTCAGGAACCTGGCCTCCATAGGTAAGGATGACGACTTTGTTACTTAATTTGTCAATTAGAGATCAAGTATTTTTTTTTAATTGCTTTTGCTGCATCCCAGAAGTTGTGACATGTCATATTGTCATTCTCATTTGTCTCTATCTCATCTTTTATTCTTTGACACTGTCAGTTTTTTAGCAGCATGTTTAATCTCCACATATTTGTGAGATAGGTGTTTGTTTGGTTTTTTTTTTGCTTTCTTTTTGCAGTTGATCACTAATTTTAAAAAATTGCGATTGTAGAATATATTGGTATGAGTTCAGTCTTCTTTTTTTTTTTTTTTTTTTAAGATTTTGTATTGGTTTTTAGAGAGAGAGAAAGGGGCAAGGAGATAAACATTGATGTGGAAGTGAAATATCAATTGTCTGCCTCCTGCCCACCCCACACTGGGGATAGAGCCAAAACTTGAGCATTTCCTTGAACCGGGAATTGAACCAGCAACCTTTCCATGCATGGTACAATGCCTAACCAACTGAGCCACATCGAGTAGGATAAGTTTAATCTTCTTAAGTTTGTTAAGGCTAGTTTTGTGACCCAACATATGGTCTGTCCTTGAGATTCTTCCATATGCACTGGAGAAGAATGTATAATCTGATGCCCTGGGATGAAAGACACTGTAAATGTCAATTATATCCATTTCATCTAATGTGTCATTTAAGGCTGATATTTCTTTATTGATTTACTGTGTGGGTGATCTACCTATAATTTTTATTGAATTCAAGGAGAAACATCAATGATGAGAGATAATCGTTGATTGACTGCCTCCTGCATGCCCCCTACTGAGGATTGAACCCACAACCCAGGCATATGCCCTGACCTCCTGTTCATAAGTCAGCACTCAACCACTGAGCCACACGGGTCAGGCTATAATTCTGTGTTTAGTTTCTCCCTTTAGTTCTCTTAGGAGTTACTTTATATTTTGGTGCTCCCTGATTGGGTGCATATACATCGAGTGGCCAGATTATTATGGTCTCTGAACAAATAGTAATCTGGCCACTCAGTGTATGTCCTATATAATAAAAGGCTAATATGGAAATTGTCCCCTCAACCAGGAGTTTGAGCAGCAGACAGGCCAGTCAACTGCCCATGTTCCCTCCCCCTGGCCAGGTTGGCCGGATCCCACCCATGCATTAATTCATGCATCAGGCCTCTAAAATATATATATATTAATATATAGCCCTAGCTGGTTTGGCTCAGTGGATATAGCATCAGCCTGAGGACTGAGGGTGTCCCGAGTTTGATTCTGGCCAAGGGTACATGCCCAGGTTTCGGGCTCAATGCCCAGTAGGGGGCATGCAAGAGGCAGCCAATCAATGATTCTCTCTCATCATTGATGTTTCTCTTTCTCTCTCTCCCTCTTCCTTCCTCTCTAAAATTAGTAAAATATATTTTTTAAAAATTAAAATAAAATAAATAAAACACACACACACACACACACACACACTGAGTGGTCAGACCAGATTATTATGCATTCAGAGATCATAATAATCTGGCCACTCGGTGTATATAGAAAAATATTATATCTTCTCTTTTAAATTTTCACTTATTATTTTTATTTTTTTATCTATGATATTTTCTTCATTGATTTCTAGAGAGAGTGGAAGGGAGGGAGGAAGCGAGGAGAAAAACATGGACATGAGAGAGAGACGTTAGTTGGTTGTCTCCTGCATGCACCCCTATTGGAGCTGGGGAACCTGCATCCAAGGTAGGTGCCCTTGACCAGGAATTGAACCCACAACCCTTGAGCCTACAAGCTGGTGCCCTAACCACTTAGCAAAACCAGCCAGAGCAAGGAGTGTTATATCTTCCTGAGGTAGTTTCCCCTTTCTATATATATAAAAGGCTAAGCGACTGTTTGCCCGGCTGACTGGCCAGTATATATGACGTGCACTGACCACCAGAGGGCAGACATTCAAACACAGGCGCTGCCAAGCGGTGGTTCTCTGGGTGACACACGCCAGAACCAGAGAGAAGGGAGCCTGATTCCTCACGGGGCGGGGCCACACGATTTGGCCGTGGGTTACCGAATCTGGTTTGCTGCCGAGCTGCGGTTCTTCTAATTAATTTATAAAATGTCCATCTTTGTCACTCATTTCCTTTCTTTTTTTCTTTTTTTTTTATAATATGTTTTATTTTTTTTACAGAGAGGAGGAGAAAGGGATAGAGAGCTAGAAACGTCAATGAGAGAGAAACATCGACCAGCTGCCTCTTGCACACCCCCTACTGGGGATGTGCCCACAACCAAGGTACATGCCCTTGACCGGAATCGAACCTGGGACCTTTCAGTCCGCAGACTGACACTCTACCACTGAGCCAAACCGGTTTCAGCTCATTTCCTTTCTTATCTTGAAATCTATTTTGTCAGATATAAGTATGGTTACATCTGCTTTTCTGTGGATGCCATTTGCTTAGAGAATCACTTTACACCCTTTTACTATGAGTCTATGTTTGTCTTTGCAGCTTAGATGTGTCTTCTAAAGGTAGCATGAGGTTGGGATTTGTTTTTTTGATCCTCTGCTACTCTTTGCATCTTTATCGGTGAGTTCAGCCCATTGACATGTAGGGCAGTTATTTAATGTCTGTGGTTTTCCTGGGGCCATTTTATCCTTTGTTTTCCGGTGGCTCTGTGCCTCCATGGGTTCCTTTTACTTTTCTAATCTTTATTGTTGAAAGTATTACATGTGTCCTCTTTTTCCATTGGTTCTTTTCCTTTGTGTTCCTGTTGTTTTTGTTTGGTGATATTTAATATTTTTTTCTCTGTTTCCTTTTTTTTTTCTTTCTGTTTAATAAATCTTTATTGTTCATATTATTACAAAAGTTCCTCATTTTTCCCCCTCCACCAGGTTCCCACCCCACCCTCTGCCCTTTCCCCACCCCCCATTGTCCTCATCCATAGGTGCACAGTTTATGTTCAGTCTCTTCCTACATCCTCCTCTCCCCCTTTCCCCAAGAATCGTCAGTCCACTCCCCTTCTATACCTCTGATTCTATTATATTCACCAGTTAATATTGTTCATAAGATTTTTTTTTAATTCCCTTGGTTTTTAGATTCACGTGTTGATAGTTACATATTTGTTATTCATAGTTTTTATCTTTATTTACTTTCTCTTCTAAAAGAACCCCCTTCAGCAATTCATATAATTCTGGTTTGGCTGTGATGAACTCCTTTAGCTTTTTTTTATTAGTGAAGCTCTTTATCTGGCCTTCAATTCTGAGTGATAGCTTTGCTGGGTAGATTATTTTTGGCTGTAGGTTCTTGCTATTCATTAACTTGAATATTTCTTGCCATTCTCGTCTAGCTTGCATGGTTTCTGTTGAGAAATCAGCTGACAATCCTATGGGTGCTCCTTTATAGGTAACTACCTGCTTTGCTCTTGCTGCTTTTAATATTCTCTCTTTGTCTTTTGCTCTTGGAATTTTAATTATGATTGTCTTGGTGTGGTCTTCTTTGGATTCCTTTTGTTTGGAGTTCTGTGTGCTTCCTGGACTTGTAAGTCTAATTCTTTCACCAGGTGGGGGAAGTTTTCTGTCACTATTTCTTTCAGTATGTTTCGATATCTTGCTCTCTCTCATCTTCTGGGACCCCCATAATTCTGATGTTGGTTCGCTTGAAGTTATCCCAGAGGTTTCTTAAATCATCTTCAACTTTCTGGATTCTCTTGACTTCTTGCTTGTGTGGAGGAGTATCTTCTGGCTCTTTATGTTCCAAATCTTTGACTTGATTCTTGTAATCTTCCATTTTGTTTTTAGGACTCTGTATAATATTTTTTATTTCAGACAATGTATTCTTTATTTCTTGTTGATCCCTTATTAGTTCTTGTTGATCCCTTATTAGTTTTTGTTGATCCCTAATTATTTCTTGTTGATCCCTTTTCATCTCCTCATAGGTCTTATCGACCTTTTCTAGGAGATTCTTAAAAAACCTTATAAGGGTGGTTTTGAACTCTATATCCAGTCTCTTCTTTTCCTCCATTTCTTTTGTTTGTGATCTAATTCCTTGTCTTGGCATTTTCACAGCTTCCCTGAGTTAGTAGGGTGGCTTTGTGTGCTAAGGTGTCCTATATGGTTCAGTGAGTTAGCCTCCCAGTTACCTGAGGTGGACAGTCTTGGTGTAGCCCTTTGTGGGATGGGTGGGCAGTCTTGTTGTTAAGCCTTGCTTGTTGTTGGTATCACTGGGAAGCGTTGATCTCCAAGCCAATTGGCTATGAGGATCAGAAGTGTCTCAGCTAGGAGGGTTTCTGTATTCTGCTTGGATGGGCGGAGTCTCGGGGTGGCACAGACAAGCTTTGTTGAATCGGCACAATTGGTTGTAGGCGCGCGCACCTCTTTGGTACAGGCGCAGACAAGCTTTAGATTCCTGTCTGCCCCTCCCTAGGAGAGTCCTATTGACAGCGAACGAGGAAGCTAGCCACTGGAAGGGCCTCTATGCTCTGCTTGGATGGGGCGTAGTCTCGGGTGGTGCAGACAAGCTTTATTCAGCCCCTCCCAACGAGGGCCTGGTTTCTGAGTCCCGCAGTAATGGCCGCTGGCTCTACACACCTCCGAGAGATCTCTGCCCACTGCCCGACAGTCTGGCCTCTCCCTGTCTGGGGCCGTCTATCAGCGCAATAGGGTGGTTTTGTTTTCCTCCTTCACAGTTCCTGAGGTTCAGCGCGCCTTCTCTCTCCTTCCCAGATGGTAGAGCCTCCCCTCAGCCAGCCGTCTGGCGCTTCAGGGTGATGTTTACCCGTTTTTCAGTTCTAAATTCAAACTTATTGTGGTAGGCTGCATTCGAGTGTCTGCCCTATGCCGCCATCTTGGTTGTCTGTTCTGTTTCCTTTTTTTAAGTTAGGTGTCTCAGTTTTGTTTTTTGCTTTTTGGTGTGGTCACAATTAGGTTTATGTAAAAGATTCATACATATGAATCTTATGAATGCATCTAATTTCCATCCCCCTTTGCAAATTCAGACCTTAACCATATCCCTTTGTCACAAATTATCTCCATTTACTCTGTGAGTTCATTTCTGAATTGCAGTAGATATTGCCTTCTTTCTCTATTTTAATGTTATTACCTCCTCTAACCTTTATGTGGCATGTAAGTGTATAATTACCCTGTTCTAAAAAAAGGGTTATAAGCTGAAAGTGGTTTGGCTCAGTGGATAGAGCTTCAGCCTGCGGACTGAAAGGTCCCAGGTTCAATTCCAGTCAAAGGCACGTACCTTGGTTGCAGGCACATCCCCAGTGGGGTGTGTGTGTGTGGGGGTGTGTGTGCAGGAGGCAGCTTATCAATGTTTCTGACTCTCCCTCTCTGTAAGAAATCAATAAAAACTTTTTTTTTAAAGGGGGTTATAATATACTATTTCTGTGTGCCTGTTGGTGATCTTACTCATACTTTTATGACCTTTTGTTCTTTGTTTCAAGTATTATAACCCCTTGAGTATTTCCTATAACATGGATCTTCTTGTGGTTTATTCCCTGAGCTTCTGTAGGTCTCGAAAAGTCTTTATTTCTCCTTCATATCTAAAGGATAACTTTGCTGGATAAATTATTCTTGGCTGGTAATTTCTCTCTTTTGAAAAATTGCTGATTACCAGACAACCATGGCCATACTTCTATGCTATGCCCTTGCACAGGCCACTAACTTCGGCTGAAGCTAGTACTGCCCACTCCTGCAGGAGTGCTCATTATATCTCTCTGCCCCTCTCTGCTGAAGGTAATGTCTGTGGCCACCTGATTCCTCCCCTCTCTGGGCTGAAACCTGCAGTGAGCTTCAGGCTGTGAGCTCCAGGCTCTGTCTCTGGCATCATCACAGCTCTTCTTTCTTCCCACCTTTGTAGTTTGCTCTCACTTCCCACCTTCATATGTTTCATTGTTTGATCTCTCATATGTGTTTGTGCGTAGAGCAGGGAGTCCTTTATTGAATGATTGCTGTTCAAATTGTTGAAACTTTAAGGGGAGAAACCAAAGGGACCTCTCACACTGCCATTCTTCTGACCAAGCACATCAATGTTCCAAGACGTGGAAAAATGAATATATTAGTAAATAAACTAAGCATGGCCACAACTCATCATGAACTTAGAATCTAATAATTTTGAGTTGTGTTTTCTAGGTACTCATTTAGAGAAAAAATGGGAAGATCATAACATTGAATATCAGTGCAAAACCCAGGGGAGAAAACTACGGTGAGTCACTTGATAAACAGCAGTTTTACATAAGAATTCTAGTATGTCATATTTATTTTAATATTTTTATGTTTATTTATTTTTTTACTTTATTATATACTAGAGACCCAGTGCACAAAATTCGTGCACGGGGGGGTATGGGAGGTGGGAATGTCCCTCAGCCCAGCCTGCACCCTCTCCAGTCTGGGTCCCGGAGGGATGTCTGACTGCCCATTTAGACCGTTGGACATCCCTCTCACAATCCAGGACTGCTGGCTCCTAACTGCTTGCCTGCCTGCCTTCCTGATTGCCCCTAACCAGCCTGATCACCCCTTAACCACTCCCATGCCAGCCTGATTGATGTCTAACTGCTCCCCTGCCAACCTGTTTGCCCCCAACTTTCCTCCTCTGCCAGCCTGGTCATCCCAAACTGCCCTCCACTGTAGGCCTGGTCCCTCTCAACTGCCCTCCCTTGCAGGCCTAGTGCCTCCCAACTGCCCTCCCCTGCTGGCTATCTTGTGGTAGCCATCTTGTATCCACATGGGGGCAGCCATCTTTGACCACATGGGGGCAGCTATCCTTTGTGTTGGTGTGATGGTCAATCTTCATATTACTCTTTCATTAGATAGGATAGAAGCCTGGTGCATGGGTATGGGCCAGCTAGTTTGCCCTGAAGATTGTCCCGGATCAGTGTGGGGGTTCCCTTGGGGCATGGGGTGGCCTGGGCCAGGGGCCTGTGGTGGTTTTCAGGCCAGCCACACCCCCTGGCGACTTAAGTGGAGACCCTAGTATCTGAAATTTATTTATCTTCTACAATTGAAATTTTGTAGCCTAGAGCAGAGCCAAGCCTTCTGCTTGCTCCATGGTGGCAGCCATTTCTGTTGAAATTTATGTATCTTCTACAATTAAAACTTTGTAGCCTAGAGTGAAGGCTGAGCTGACCAGGGCTGCAGAAGTTTGGCTTCCTTCATTGTCCAGGGAAACTCTAGCCTCCTGCTCTTCCAGCTCAGTGGCTGTCGCCATTTCCATTGGAATGTATTTACTTTCTATAATTGAAACTTTGTACCCTTGAGTGGAGGCCTCGGCCAGCCAGGGTGTGTGGAAAGCTTGTCTTCCTCCATTGCCAGGGAAACCCAAGCCTCCCTCCTGCTCTCTGTGGCCACAGCCATCTTGGTAACTTGCATATTCGTTATGATTGGCTGGTGGAGGTGGCTTGTGTGCAGCAGAGTAATAGTTAATTTGCATATTACTCTTTTATTAGATAGGATCTTTATTGATTTCAGAGAGTAAGGGAGAGGGAGAGAGAGAAATAGAAACATCAATGATGAAAGAGTCACTGATTGGCTGCCACCTGCATGCCCCCTACTGGGAATTGAGCCCACAACTCGGACATGTGCCCTTGACTGGAATCAAACCTGGGATCCTTCAGTCCGCAGGCTGACACTATATCCACTGAGCCAAACCAGTTAGAGGTGTCATGGATTTTTAAAAACAAGCAAATAAAATAATTTCTACTTCAATTTATTTACCCTTAACCTCATATGTTAACATCACTGTTTTCATAATAACCGAGGTCTAGTCCTTTTACAGAGCGTTCAGTATATTGAAACAATTCAGAAAGGACAAAAAAACCTTCACTCTTGTTACGAATTATAAAAATGTAATCCAATACCCTCCTAAGAAATAGGAAATTAACAAAGAAATCACTAATAATGCTTCTCATTTTTTACAGAAGTTATATGGTAGAAAAACTCCATGAAAGCAAAGGAGGTAGTCAGTGTGGAGAAACCATCAGCCAAATTCCAAATCCTGATCCGAACAAGGGAACTGCTTCTGGAGGACAATCACTTAAATGTAGGGTGTGTGGAAAAGACTTCGTGCGTCATTCATCCCCGAATATACACATCAGATCTCACACTGGACATAAGCCTTATGAGTATCACAAATATGAAGATAAGCCATATAAATGTAAGGAATGTGGGAAAGCCTTCAATTACCACAAATCTGTTCACAGACATGAAAGGACTCACACTGGAGAGAAACCCTATGAATATAAGGAATGCGGGACATCCTTCATGTGGCTCCCAACCTTTCAAACACACATGATTACACACACTGGAGATGCTCCTTATAAATGTAAGGCATGCAGGAAAGCCTTTAGTTCTTCCACTTCATTTCGAGCACATGAAAGAATGCACACTGGAGAGAAACCCTATGAATGTGCACAGTGTGTTAAATCCCTGAGATCTCTCCTAGGTTTGCAAATACATGAACAAAACCACACTGGAGAGAAACCCTATGAATGTGAGCAATGCGGTAAAGCCCTCAGTTGTCCCAGTTCTTTTCGAAGTCATGAACGGACTCACGCTGCAGAGAAACAGTATGAATGTAAACAGTGTGACAAAACCTTCAGTTCTCCTCTAGGTTTTCGGATACACGAAAGAATTCACACTGGAAAAAAGCCTTATGAATGTAAAGAATGTGGTAAAGCTTTCGTTTCTCTCTCAAGCATTCGAACACACATGATAACACACACAGGAGAAGAACCTTTTAAGTGTAAAGAATGTGGGAAGGCATTTGTTTGTCCCAGTTCTTTTCGATCCCATGAAAGGACTCACACTGGAGAAAAGCCATATGAATGTACACAGTGTGGTAAAACCTTCAGTTGGCCCAGTTCCTTCCGAATACATGAAAGAACACACACTGGAGAGAAACCCTATGAATGTACAGAATGTGGGAAAACCTTCATCTATCGCACAACCTTTCAAGGACACATGAGAAAGCACACCGGAGAGAAACCCTACAAATGTAAAGAATGTGGGAATTCCTTCATTTCTTCCTCGAGTGTCCGAACACACATAATAATGCATACTGGAGATGGGCCTTACAAATGTGAGGTATGTGGGAAAGCCTTCAATTTTCCTAGTTCATTTAGGGTACATGAAAGAACTCACACTGGAGAGAAGCCCTATGAATGTAAAGAATGTGGTAGAGCCTTCAGTTGTTATACATCATTTCGAACACATGAAAATACTCATACTGGAGAGAAACCCTATGAATGTAAAGAATGTGGAAAAGCTTTCGTTTATCGTACTACCTTTCGAGGACACGTGAGAATGCACACTGGTGAGAAACCATACCAATGTAAAAAATGCGGAAAAGCCTTTAGTCGTCCCAGTTCCTTCAGAAGGCATGAAAGGTCTCATATTAAATAAAAACTTGAATTAAGAAATGTGGACAAAGACATCAGCTGGTCTTCATCCTTACATGTGAAAATTTTCACTGGAATGAAACCCTGTAAATATTAGTAATGTGAGAAAGTCTGATATAAATTAATCCATATATAATGTTCTGGAACACTATAATATGAAAGAATTGTTATAAGTGTATTGCTTTTATCAGTGCCTCATTTTTAAACTGGACCTCTGAAGTGTGGATATTTACTGCCCAAAAATGAACAGTGAGGTAATACTCTTCAAGCAACACTACATAGATTAATAGATGTTTCCTCCTTAAATCAGTTAACATTTTTCTTTTACTTTTTTTAAATTAATTTATTGATTAAGGTATCATATATTTGTCCTCAACCCCCCATTTCAATCCCCCACCCCCCACTCTCTTACCATTTTGAAGACTATTTGATCTATGGATAAATTGAAGTATATTTCTAATATACATGTAAGCTTAATTTTTATGTTTCCATTGTTTTGTAAATGAGCAATTAATAAATGCTATTTTGGTACTTGTTGGGGTTTACCTACTGGCCTCCTGGGCCAAGTACTGGATATTCCTTGCCCCATCTTTCTTATGAGAAAACTAGTCTCTTCTTTTTTTTTTTTGGCCAGAAGACCATTATTCCATTTTCTTTTTTTCTTTTTCTTTTTTTTAATATATTTTATTGATTTTTTAGAGAGGAAGAGAGAGGGCTATAGAGTTAGAAACATCGATGAGAGAGAATCATCGATCAGCTGCCTCTTGCACACCCCCTACTGGGGATGTGCCCGCAACCAAGTACATGCCCTTGACCGGAATCGAACCCAGGACCCTTCAGTCCGCAGGCCGACACTCTATCCACTGAGCCAAACTGATTTCGGCAAACTCATCTTGTTTAAAGGTCGATTGTATTTATATATTTTGCCCTTTGCTGTTTGTCATTCCTTCAGGCTAGGACTTTAAATAATAGACTTTCCATTAGGATGGATCTGTTGTTGGACAATAAAATATAGAATTGGAGATGACTTTTCTAAATTGTGTTTGTTACTGGATAATGTGACAATTTCTAAAATCTGTATCTTTTATGGTTACATGGAAGCTGCAGCTGAGAAGAAAGAGGAGAAGGAGGAATTGGAGGAGTCAAATGATGACATGGTAGTGACATGATTTGAAATTGTTCTACCAATTTTAGAGATATGGTTACAAAAGACCCCTATTTTTTTTTAAATATATTTTATTGATTTTGTACAAAGAGGAAGGGAGAGTTAGAAACATCGATGAGAGAGAATCATCGATCAGCTGCCTCTTGCACACCCCCTACTGGGGATATGCCCGCAACCAAGGTACATGCCCTTGACCGGAATCGAACCCGGGACCTTTCAGTCCCCAAGCCGATGCTCTATCCATTGAGCCAAACCGGTTTCGGCAAGACCCCTATTTTTTACTTGATTCATCCTGGTCACTGAATAGCTTTGTCTGATAATGGAAGTGATGACATTTTACTCTTCAACACAATAAGACTGCAAGGCCAGCTCCTAGTCCACTGGAACATCTTCTCTGTTCATGATCTAAATACTGATATGTATTGACAGACACTGTTTATTACAAAGTACATCAGTGAAAACATATAAATCCCCTTAGTAAAGCACATGAAACGTTTTTGTCTCCTTTATAACTCAAATGAGTCCTATATATTTAGGTAACTAGTGAAAGAACACAAACCTAGCAAAGGAGAAAGACATGGCCACTATTCCAATCAGGCCTTTGTTACTGAGAGATCATACTCTTTATTTTTTTATTTTATTTTTTAATAAAAAAGTAAATTTTTAAAAATATATATGTTATTGATTTTACACAGAGAGAAACTGAGAGGGACAGAGAGTTAGAAACGTCGATGAGAGAGAAACACCGACCAGCTGCCTCCTGCACACCCCCCACTGGGGATGTGCCTGCAACCAAGGTACATGCCCTTGACCGGAATCAAACCCGGGACCTTTCAGTCCGCAGGCCGACGCTCTATCCACTGAGCCAAGCGGGTCCCGGCGAGAGATCATACTCTTGATGCTAATTTCTTAACATGCCTCGTCTAGATTCAAAACATACCTAGTTTAGCACAGGCCATCAAGGCACTGGGTCTTGGGTATAGAGGCATCAGACAAATGTCTGTGGTCCTGGTGTTCATAATTTTGTGAGAGAAGGGATATGGTTAACAAATGGTAACACTTTGGTTTATAACATGAAAATAAGGGCTTGGGTAGAATATAAAAAATAATTTGAGCCAAGCCGGCGAGGCTCAGTGGTTGAGCATTGACCTCTGAACCAGGAGGCCACGGTTCGATTCTCAGAGCACATGCCCAGGTTATGGGCTTAATCCCTAGTGTGGGGTGTGCAGGAGGCAGCCGATCAATGATTCTCATCATTAATGTTTCTTTCCCTCTCTCCTTTCCTCTCTGAAACCACTAAAAATATATTTTTAAAAAACTAACATGTGACAGAAACCAGTTTGGCTCAGTGGATAGAGCGTTGGCCTATGGGCTGAGGGGTCCTGGGTTCGATTCCGGTCAAGGGCATGTACCTTGGTTGCAGGCACATCCCCAGTGGGGGTGTGCAGGAGGCAGCTGGTTGATGTTTCCCATCAATGTTTCTAACTCTTTATTCCTCTCCCTTCCTCTCTGTAAAAAAATCAATAAAATATGTTTTGTTTTGTTTTTTATAAAAACTGATGTGCGATATTAGGCAGCCACGAGAAACACAGCAATGGAAGGAAGTAAATGAGCCGCTTTTGCTCTTACATGAAAAGAGCTTGATGCCATCAGTTATATTTTTACAAAAAAATGCTGAATGAACTAAAAATTCATCAGAGCCAAAACCGGTTTGGCTCAGTGGGTAGAGCGTTGGCCTGGGGACTGAAAGGTCCCTGGTTCGATTCCAGTCAAGGGCATGTACATTGGTTGTGGGCACATCCCCAGTGGGGGGTGTGCAAGAGGCAGCTGGTCGACGTTTCTAACTCTCTATCCCTCTCAATTCCTCTCTGTGTAAAATCAATAAAATATATATTTTTTAAAATTAAAATTAAAAAAAATAAAAATTCATCAGAGATTTGAGGTTGTAGGCTAAACCACTGCCCTGAAAACTGGAGGGACAAGAGAATATAGAGAATGGCCACTGACTGGGAGCAAAAGCTACTGGAGCCAGCCAACTGTGGTAACAGAGGAATAGATGAACTGCTGGAGACACAGTATGGACTAGCTTGAGAATATTCTGGGCCTAGTCATAGGGTACTCCCAATAACTCATTAAGTTTAACTCAACAACCCAAAGCCTAATGCTTTATACAGTCAAAGGAGAAAAATATCTTGAAACATTCTGTTCTCTCTAGCTTGTGTCATCCCTCAAAGAAAATTAATTTGCCAAAGCCTTATCTGACCTGGGGAAAAGGCAGTTAGCCACCTCCAACTGTTCTTTTCGGGGGTTTTTTTGTTGTTTTTTTTTTTTGTTCTTTTCGTTTTTAAAAAATGTTTTATCGCTGAGACTGGTTTAGCTCAATGGATAGAGCGTCGGCTTGGGGACTGAAGGGACCTGGGTTTGATTCCGGTCAAGGGCATGTACCTTGGTTGCGGGCATATCCCCAGTAGGGGGTGTGCAAGAGGCAGCTGATCAATGACTCTCTCTCATCGATGTTTCTAGCTTTCTATCTCTCTCCCTTCCTCTCTGTACAAAATCAATAAAATATATTTTTTTAAATGTTTTATTGCTTTTTTTTAATTTTTTTAGGGAGAGGGAGAGAGAGTGGGATAGAGAGATAGAAACACCATTGATCTATCAGCTGCCTCCTACTGAGAATTAAGTCTGCACCCCAGGCCTGTGCCCAGCCCAAGAGTAGAACTGGTGCCGAAACCGGTGTGGCTCAGTGGATAGAGTGTCGGCCTGCAGACTGAAGGGTCCCGGGTTCGATTCTGGTCAAGGGCATCTACCTTGGTTGCAAGCACATCACCGGTGGGTATGTGCAGGAGGCAGCAGATGGATGTTTCTCTCTCATCAAAGTTTCTAACTCTCTATCTCTCTCCCTCTCTCTAAAAATTCAATAAAATATATATTTTTATAAAAAATAGAACTGGTAACCACTTGGTGCATGAGATTACACTCAAGCACTGAGCCACACCAGCCAGGCCAGAACATGTTTTTAATGTTATCTTCTGTGATGTTCTTAAGTTTGCTTTTAAATTACATTAAACTATAAAAAATTCAATAAAATACTTAGGAATAAATGTAACCAAGGAGGAGAACGAGATGTATACTGAAAACCACAAGACATTCATGAAAAGTTGAAAGACACAGTAAATGAAAGGTTCCCATGTTCATGTACTGAAGAATATTGTTCAAATGTTCACACAACCCAAAGTCATCTAAAGAGTCAATGCATTCCTGTTAACATGCAGGAGGCAGTGATCAGTGATGCTTCTCTCATTGAGTTTCAATCTAGCCCTCTCCCTATCTCTCGCTCTATAAATCAATAAAAACGTATTTAAAAAAAAGTTTCTCACCATCTTTAAAAAAACACAGGTTAGCCCAGCCAGTGTGCGTGGCTCAGTGGTTCAGCATCAACCTATGAACCAGGAGGTCATGCTTCGATTCCCAGTTGGGGGTGTGCCAGAGGCAGCCAATCAATGTTTCCCATCATTGATGTTTCTATCTCTCCCTCTTCCTTCTTCTCTGAAATCAATACGAATACATTTTTTTTAAGAAAGTATTTTTAAAATGGGCTAAAGACTTAAATGTAAGACCTGAGCCCTAGCTGGTTTGGCTCAGTGGATAGAGCGTCAACCTGCAGACTGAAGGGTCCCGGGTTTGATTCATGTCAAGAGCATATGCCTGGCTTGTGAGAAGCAGCCGATCAATGATTCTCATCATTGATGCTTCTATCTCTTCCCTCTCACTTGATCTCTGAAATAAAAAATAAAAGACCTGAAACCATAAAACTTTTAGAAAAAACATAGTCCATAAGTCCCTTGATATAGGTCCGGATATGATTTTCTGAATCTGAACAAATGCAAAGGTAACAAAAGCAAAAGAAAAAAATAAATGGGAGTACATAAACTAAAAAGGTTTTGTACAATTAAGAAAATCAACAGGCCAGGACCGGTTTGGCTCAGTGGATAGAGCGTCGGCCTGCGGACTGAAAGGTCCCAGGTTTGATTACGGTCAAGGGCATGTACATTGGTTGCGGGCACATCCCCAGTAGGGGGTGTGCAAGAGGCAGCTGATCGATGATTCGTTCTCATTGATGTTTCTAACTCTCTATTCCTCTCTCTTCCTCTC